AATCGCATATTTATCTGATCTAGAATATTATTTTTCAATTTTTCTGCAATTGCATTACATGGATCTAAACGACTTATTATATTGTTTAAACAATGAACAATCGGAATAACTTTACTTCCGGTATCATACTTTTCACCTAACATTTCTACAGTTACGGAATTTATGGGGGAAAGAATTTTAAGTGATTCTTTGATACATGTTATATCGGAATGAGATAACATTTGCAAGTCTGAATATTTGAACAGGACAGTACTAATATATTCGGATAGTTTGCAAAATCATTCCAACATATAAAACATTGAGTTCCACCGAGTTTCAGACTCTTGAATCACTTTGAGATGTTCACCATTGGGACTCGTTTTCATCTGAAGCGCTCTTAACTCATCGGCTGCTTTTACCGATCGTTTAAGAAAAGTTACAATTCCTTTTACTTTTGCCACAATATTTTTAAATTCAGGAGTAAATTTAATTGCATCCCCGACTACTAGATTGAGCTGATGTGCAAAGCATGGCAAATGTTGTCCAAATGTATCGTGTGCAGCTTTCGATATATTAGCAGCACTATCTATAATCATAACCATTACTTTACTCAGATCGATATTCCAATCATGACAAAATGATTTTATAATTTCCGATAAATAGATGGCATTGTGAGCTTCTTCTAGAAGACGAATTTCAAGATTAATAGATTCAATTTCTATATCGTCGATAAAATGTACAGTAAGGAACATATAGCTTTTGCTATTGTACTTGTCCGTCCAAATATCCGATGTCAGCACAATGTTATCAATCCCTGTCAATTTGTTTCTCACAATCGAACTTAGCGCGACAAATTTCTCATCAATGCGACTTGTAATCGTCATCCTACTTGGAACAGTGTATAACGGCGCAACAACTTTGAATAATCGTTGAAAACCTTCACCCTCTACGATGGATAGTGGCTGTAAGTCCTTGGAAATCATAAATGTGATGGCGTTTGTGATTTGTCCTGATTTACTACCACCATCTGTAACACGGATTTGGTTTTCGGTTTATTACATTAAACTGAATTAAAATGTTTTAATTTGATTTAAATTTATCAGATCTAATTAAAATGTATTAAGTACAGTATCGAATTTAGTTATATACCAACACTGAGAGTTATTTATCCTTTAATTTGCCAAAACTAGTATGAAAAGAAAGAAAATTAAAAATAATGAATTTAAACTTTCTTTTAGAAAAAATTGTTGTAAAAAAAGTTAGTCACTCGAAAACTTGTTTCTACTAAAAAGAGATTAATATTAATTCTAGCATATTTTAATTTGTGTTCATTTTTAAATAAAATATTATGATAATATAAGATTCCTACTCTCAATGTTGACCACTCAAATTGCTTTTCTTTTTGACATTAGTAACAAACAAGAATCAGTAAAATTAACTGTAGACATTAAATTCATATATATTTTAGTAATTACAATGTTTATTCTGATATAAAGAGAAAAAATTTTTATTCTTTAATTAGAAATTTGTTTATTACAAAAATACAACATTATACAATTTACCATTGTATTCACTTATCCCCGAAAAAGCCTTTTTAATCGGAACTTGCTTTTGTATTAAAGTCTGTGTTTTCATATTACCGTCAAGGCACTAGTTTCTGATCAGTCTCTAATTTCTGATCAGTTTAGTGAATAAATTGTTTTATTGCATTCACCATCATAAATATTCTCTGTAAAAAATATTTATAATAAAAACTGAACATAGAGAATTACTAAGCGTAAATATGGAAGTTCCAATTGAACGCATTTTTATGACAATAAATTCGTCAAGATAAACGTTCGGACAAGAGACGCATATGCGGCCATCTGTTATGGTCGGGCGTAAGCAAGGTTCTTTGTTTCGTCAGCTTGTCATTTGCACGCGTTTAACGAAATCAAGGTAATTATATATATTT